CCGTATTATTTCTCAGCTTAGTCAGAAGGGGAAACAATTGTGTGAAACATTTCTTGTAAGGAGGTGAATCCCCCATCACTAGGCCTTTTGTGTACATGTATATCTGTCTTATTTTCCTGTTTATGTGGCAGCTATCTATTCGTGTTATTTTACTGTTATGTGTTTTATTCATGTCAGAATACTCAGTATTTAAACTAAAAAAAATCATTAACGTAACATTGTCGTCCCAGGGTTGGCCCATTAACAGTATGTATCATTTACCTACCCATCACTTTATCTGTTTATTTATATTTTCTCACATGATAATCCTAGAATTAGCAAACAATTATGTAATACTGACAGGCTATTGTAAGACAAAGTGTTAAATTCATTTTAAGTAAAAACATAATCATTAGAAGCAGTATTTCATTGCGACCATTGATCTGTTGTCTGTGGATTTCAGCTCTGCTATACATTGGGATTTTTCTCTCTCTGTTGTTGTAATTACATTGTAAACTAATGTTCTATTTTTCTCCATTTCCCAGCAGAGAAAATGGAATTCTTTTCATTTTGAAGGTGTACAGAGACACTATAAGTTGAAATATTAATTCTGCTAGGAAAAATTGGTCTTTCCACTGTGCAGATCAGTGACTTGCTTATGTATATCTTCTTTTGTATCATTAATTCTTCCAGTTTCATTATTTTTAGACCCTAGTTCACTGCAGTGGACTTTTTATATTAATGAAAACCAAGCCAATCTATTCAGTATAATCAGATCCTAGCTTAATATACCATTCTTTGGGGGTTTTAATGGCCCCTAAAGTCATCCCCAACTTTGAGAGCATTGATTAAAATATTGATTATACTTACGAGCAGAGAAAATAGGCAATTCCTTCAAATTTACCCGGTCTAGGTACCCCATCAATCAAGGGAATTAAGGTCTAGGATTGGGTGCTAGAAGTTGACATAAAGTTCCTAGTCTCCTTATATATCCACAGGTACCTTGTCTGGGGATCGTCAAATTAACTTAGAATTCAGACTTTTGATGATTACCACATATAGCAGTGTGACAAAGACACTGTATTGATACAATTTTTTTTTTCTTTTTTCGTGTCAAAATATGTAAGTGCATGTAGTATGTAAATTCATGTAATTTTATAATGAAATTAATGATTATAAATCATGCATATGTTCCAATATTTTTTTTAAAGTAAATTTCATTTCAAAGTATAATTGATCATAATGGAGTGTGTAATCCAAATTTACAGGTACATCGATTTTAAAGCCAAACTGAAAGTGCAGACTCTCATTGAAACCATCATTATATATCATGTTGTTAATTATTACTTTGTGTATATATAATTAATATTTTATTTCATTGAAAATTTATAAGCAGCACTTGGTGGAAATATTGCAATTAACTTATTAGTGGCCACAATGACAGTATTCAAGTTGTACATGTACGTATGTGGTCCTGAGAGAGAATGTCTGATTGAGTACGCCCAAGCATGAGGATGTCAAGGACATATCAAATAGACAACTCTGTTGGCCAAAGATTTCAGATTATCTACTTGTATGCACACTGTCCTGAAATAATAATTTAAAGAAAACTTTTATAAGAAGATAGGGAAAATGGCCATCTAGGTGTAGGTAGACAAAATCTGCTACAATACACAGAGATTCCCATTGGTCAATAATACTTTCCTTGATGGCTTGTAATTATTAATAAAAGTAAATGCATATTAAATAGTCCAAAGGCTGACATCACCTAATCATGTCAAATTGTTTTAATAAAACATTATGGTGAAATCTTCCATCTACTACATAAAAAATACAAAACTAATACAAACAAATCAATACATTTCCAATGTTTTATTATTTTAAAATCATCTCACGGTGACATTACAAATTAATCAAACACAGGTAAAGTTCTACTACTATATGAGTATTTAATTATTATGTATTAAGTCACTTCCTATGTATAGGGATTAGTAGAGAACATTACGGCAGGTAGACTGCTAGCCCCCACCTGTAAAATTAAGCCCCACCCTCTCTTGAAATATACCACCCGGTAAAAAAAATTCTGCCCTCAATAAAGCAGCTGAATGGAGGAAATCTTTTTTTATTGCAGATTTTACCTTCTGAATGTCATAACACAGTAATGTTTATGTTTGAATGATTACCTCAGTCTGTAATTAAGTATTAAGTCTGGCATACTGCTGTTTTGATATACTGGTACTTATTTCACCAAATCAAAATTTAATGTTAATTGGTAAATAATCTCTGGACCTGGATTAAGTTGTGCACCATTGGAGATAAATAATCTTTTGAAAAATATTATGTTCTTGGTAGAGTTGCAATCTGAATTATTAGCAAACCTCAGTACATGCATCCCCCAGGAGCATGGATTGCAGGGATCATCGGAGGAGATTAGGGTTTCCATTCAGATGGAAGTCTGGGACAAGTCAGATATAGCCAAGTCACTAGACTGACAGCAGATTTACATTGGATTCTTTACATGTTGAACTATCGGTTAATTCAGACTCTGTGTCCACTTTTCCACATGAATACCTAGTAGATGTACAATGCATTAAACTACCTGGACCAACTTTGCATGAATAATACACCTGGATTCTTTCTTGCAATCTTGTATTGGATGCTGAATTTCTGGGTGATTGAGAAGGTGGAAGCTTACTCTCAAGTAACTCTAAGCTGACTATCTGGACCAAACTTGCTATATAAATTGTCAAGGGAAAGCTTGCTCAAATGTGATTGATGTAGCTTTATGTATGAGTGTTTGGAATGAATTTATAGAGCTTGTCCATCCCTTTGTAATTACAGGCTTTTCTTAGAGATGCATACATAGTGTGTGTGTCCCAGTCATGTTCAATACATGTACTCTGTAGGTGAGGAACTGACATAGTTCTTTTTAAAAGTGATGCATCCTACATGTACTAAGATAAAGAATTTGAGTGTTTCTCTCAGAGATGACAATGAAGTAAGCATTTATTTACTATGAGCTACTGTATGTTTTTTTTTTAATTGTTTATAAAAACTATTTAAATGATAAACCAGCAACATTCTTAAACTTTATCTTGAATTTTTAATTTCCTGTCCTCAGCTGCCATCAAAGGATTTTAAGGCCCTTGGGTTGAAAAGGGGGAGGGGTTTAACTGTAGTATGACAGTGAAAAAAAGCATTTCATCTTCAAGAATCTTCTTTACAAGGAGGCATCTAGTGGGGGGGGGGGGGGGGGGGGGTATTACTCAAATATTTCATTGGTTCAATTCCTGTTCTTACATTATACTAATTATGAATGTACATAGATACCACAATTACTCATGTGACTGTTAAGGCCCATGGGCCTCTTGTTTGTTTGAGATAGAATTTTTGCACTTCATATGTAGTGCATACATGTACATGTACTTCAGATAAAATTGTTTGTGATTGCTCAGTGATCAAACAGAATTTATCTTTTCTTGCTATTCGTAAAAGTACATGTAGTTTTTACAAGAAATTGTTTGTTATCTTCATATTGTTAAGTTCATGGGATTTACAAGCTTATTGAATTTTATGTCAGTGAGTGTTTTTTTTTCTTTCCTTTTTATTGAGATAAAACATGCCCATACAAAGAATGGGCTGATTTCATTTGACTTCCTGGATTGGGATCTTTTTTTACCTGTATGTTTAGTACACCTAAGTGGGTGTGCAGGTTTATTCATGCTAGTGATGAAATTCGAGTTTATATCTGTGTTATGTTTTTTTCTCCCCTGCAGTAGATTAGTGTATGTTTTGAGCCATGGATTTATAGTGATAATTTGTGAATTTTAAAAGATCCATCACCATTTTGACATAAAGGTGAATTAGTCCTCTATAATTTCCTGTAAATTTCCCACTTTTATTCTGTGACTGATTCTATTATATTGTATTATATTGTAAATACTGATAAGCTGATTAGCCTAAAGTAATAAAGAATAAGATATAGGGGGATACATGTAGGGCTTATATGTGTAACAATTGTTTTTACTTCTCTGAGAATTTAAATTATAACTATACTGCCATTTTAATGAAGTTGAAAATAATATTATAACAATTAAGAGATAATATTACTTAGCAATGAACAAGTCATTTCCTATGTGGACAAAATATGCTCGACAAAAAATTAGATAAAGTTTTATCCAAGATATTTCGAGATAATGATAAAAATAGGTAAGAGGAAATGTTTGTAGTACAGTGAACATGTAGCCAGAGTATTTTGTACGTCATGTATTGATCAAGTGATCAGGGGCCCCATCAATATCTGAACATCAGTAATCAATATTGACATCTGTATATCTAGAGGATGAGGCTTGCTCAAATAACTAGCCTAATAATTCTCCTCTCTACAGACTTATTAACACATTTTAACACTTGTGTTTGGGTTGATTTCAAATTGTTTGTAATATATGTCACTCTCATATATCTTGCATAATTCTCTAGTTTCAGCATTTGAAGCTTTATTAAAGGGATTCTTGCTGATACATTCTGAAACATTCTGTATGCATCAGCTGTGGTCTGAAATTTTGATACATATATGATATGGAAAAAAAGAGTCATTTTAAAATCTGTTACATTTGTAGGACTATATGGCATCATATTCACAAGTTGTTTGAAAAATCAATGAAACAGATTTGTACTTGTTTTATACAGTAGACAAAATCGTCAGCTTTCCAGCTGGGAAATAGGAGCGTCTGTGTGTTACATGTACTTAAGTATTCAGCTTGAATGACTTTAGTATTTATATGTGGAACAAAATATAAGATTCATTTCTGTGTATATTAAGAATAAATTAATGTACCAGTAATCCAATGTAATGTAATTAAATCATTTATTAAGGTTTGTGCAAGTTTTTCAGTAATATTAAAAACTTTGAAAGAAGTTTTGAAAATAGTGACACATCAAACAAATATGCTTAATGTTAGGCAGTGGAGAGGAAAAATCTATTGAACATGAATTTTCATTTTGTGGTTTTATATTTTTAGGTGGAAAGTGAAGAATCTAAGTATTGAAAGAACATCAGGCCACCATGCCAGGAATAGGTTTTATCCGAGTCAAACTTTTACAGGTGGATAAAGGCCAGACTGCCACTAAATCAGAACCGTTCGACCCATTCGTTGCTGTTAATGTCAAAGAAACTGTAAACTCCCCAGGTATGGAAGAAACTTAACTCAGCTGCTTTGAGTTGCATGTATATAAATGGAAGATATTAAATGTTTTGTAGTTAGATATGGAATTTATTTTATGAGTGGGACAGGATATTTTGTAATTTTACTTGTGCTTTACACAGTTATATATATATATATATATATATATATATAAAAGAAAAAGAAACTTGTCTCCTGAGTGTAATAAATTCCATATTCAACAATAAAACATTGAATTTTCTGTTAATTGAAGTAAAATTCTTCTGATTTTCTTTTTTCCCTGTTAGCTGCCTTTGTATTGAAATTCTTTAGAAACAATATTGTGCCTTTATTAAATATAGGTCTTAAAAATGATGCAAAAGATAATAAAAAACTTAAAAGGTTTGAATAATCAAACAACTTTAACTTTGTTATTGCAAATATGATGAGTATTAAAAGTGCATTGTCTTCATCCTTTGACAATAAGTCCTTCAGTAGATCATAATATAATATGGTATTTTAAGTTTACTATTGATGTCACTACGGATTAATGAGCCATAAGAAAACTCTAGTCAATGGCCATGCTCCATCATCTTTCTAAGAATATTATTATCCACATGGAAATGTCACAAAGAGGAAAGGCTCTTTGAATATTTGCCATATCTGTGTAGCATACATGCTAGTTTAGTAATATTCTGTGTTTGTTTAATTGTAATTTAATGGAATCTTTCCCATTGGGGATCATTTTATGGCAACCATAAAACCTGAACTATTGATTTTCAGACAAAGATTAACACCTATTGTCTGGTATTTCAGGTAGAGTGCATATCTTGCAGGTTCTTTAAACCTTCATTATTTTTGTCCCAACTATTGCCCATAGACATGTAACAAATGTCAGGCTTATTAGCAAATATGAGCAATATGTATCATTTAGAAATGAGTTACATCTAACCAACCTTATCAGATAACCTTATGATAACCTTAAATTCTTCAATCCTGAGACTAGTCATGGCTTTTGTTGGCTTCAAAATAGCTACCTATTTTCTCCTAGTGAATGGTGTTATTTTTCAGGTTTTCATTCATAATGATAAACATGATAAAGCTAATAATAAAATTGTGATGAGTTTTAAAGAGGTTGATCCCCCCCCCCCAAAAAAAAAATGTCACTATAATTTTCACAATTATGAATGCTGCAGCCCTTGTACCAAAAAGGGGTGCGAGAACCTTTCTTATTCCTCTCAGTAATTCGCTGTATACCTTTAAATTCATTCATGTTTTATGAGTGTATTTACCATAACCATGTTTTACTGCATGATTTTTGGCCATTTTAACGTATGTTTCATTTGATGTTGATTTACTGTAATAAATCATTCTCAAGAAAATTTTATTTTATGTAGTATTAGATCTGAACCTTAAGCATGTTAAGGCTCCAATGCAATGAGGATATTGATTTCAAATGTGCAAATAACTGTGATAAAAATATAGGAGATAATTAAGAGTTGAGTATTCCCTGTGTTCAGAGCCTTCAAATAAATCTACAGTGTGATCTGTAATTACTCATCATCAAACAGTTGTCTGTGTCATAGGAAAGCCTTCCAGTCTTGATGGTTTACCTCTGTGTATGACAAGATTTTTGTTAACCATGCATTAAAGCTCACAAAGCTGTGCTTTATGATCAAGTGCAGAGCATGGAGTGTTAAACAGGAAAAATTACTAAATAGTTTACCTAGATCTTGATTATGAAATTATTACATTAAGTGTGAACAATTTTTGAATGAAATTTGGCCATATGCCTTATGTCCTTACTAAATGTCCTTATCAACAGCAGTAAAAAAAATGTTGCTTTAGTATATTACCGTAGTAAATATATATTGATATATTATACATCTTTGCAGCACTTTCACAATGAACATCTGCTAAATCATAAGTGAATAAGTAAACAGTTGAGGGGACTGGGGGATGTCTAAATCTTCATTGGCCATTAAAATTTTACTGGTTAGCATGGTTAAAGGGGATGTAGTTTTGTTGGTAACTTGTATATATACAGTGAAATTTGTCTAATCTACATGCACTGGGAGACAAATTTTTGTGGGAATTAGACAGGGTGTCAGATTACACAATGTAAAGAATAGAAAATAAGGGGGGGGGGGGGGGGATTCAGAGTGAAACGGATTGCACAGGTGTCATATTAGAAAGTTTTCACTGTGCAGAATGAAATCTGTTGACAAAGTTATTGTTTGTTGAAATGTCAATTTGTTGGTAAGGGTGGCCCATGAAAACCACAAACATTGGTCCCCAAAGAACAAGGATAATTCCAAAGTAAGCTTTTTCTTGTACATAGACTTAAGTACTAATACACACTTTTTGGTTGTTGGAAGAGCATCTGTAACCTAGACATGAAAAAGTGTGTCCAATCATTTTAGAAATATAGCATTGTAGAGTTAGCCAATTACCATGATGATTGCTAGACAATCCAATATCACAAGAAGAGGGCACTAAGCCAAGTATTTGATTGGTTCTGTGTGATTCTTTTCAAGTTTTCTATCTTTTGAAAATATAGTGTTGTCTTCATCAGATATGAAATCTTGAACCTTTGTAATAATGTCACAATTAAATCAAGAATTACTGTAGCTTCCTTATTTTACGCGAGTACTTAATATCGCGAAATGGCCCAAGGGCGTCAAATCGCGAGAACAATAATTCACGAATGGGTGATTTATCTGGAGATTTTACATACATTATAGCACCAAAAAAATAAAAGCGAGTAATTTTATTTCGCGAGTGGTGCTTCTCGCGTAATTACGCGATAATTTATTCCTCGCGTATATTTAGGAATCTACAGTAAGTTGGTCTTGATTACAAATTTGTATGAACCTATTTGTGCTTTGAAGTTGTATGGTCAGAGAACATAAGACTGAGAAGCTATTAAAGCAATGTGAGCTGCATTTTTGAAAATTTTATTTTGCTGTAAAAATGTGCTGTTGTGGTAAATCTGTATGTAATACAATCCTTTATGATCAATTAGACTTAAATAAATATTCAATTTTTTCAGAAGAAAGATTTCTGTACAATGAAATGTATAGTATTATACAGGAAATCAATTTTTGTACAGGACGACAATAATGTAATTTTGCTTCAATCAAAGCTTCTTAAATAGTTTTTCCATTGGAAATATGAACAACAGAAGTTTATAAACGTTCGTTTTTTCTGTTATTGAAATACATGTAGTTAATTACAATATTGCAACAAAAATTTCCAATGTCAAAGTTGCAGCTCATATTGCTTTAACTTTCCAGTTTAAAACAAGAACATTTTGTAATGGTGTTCAGAGCTTTTAGTACCTTTTCTCATGGTTTTCAGAGCTATAAATTTAGTAACTTGTAGGAAATAGCAGACTTATACTCAGACCAGGGCTAGACAAATAGCACTGCCCGACACCCGGGACAACCAATTTTGTTTGACGGGCAAGTTATTTGATAACTGATACCTTCCTGTGGACAAGTGCTTTTCCAGTTAACAAAAAATCATAAACTCAAATGTTGTTTGTTTTACCGCTGCTAAAATATAATGATTCACAGCAGAATATATGTTTTCAATGCAGTTGACGACTACATCGAATACTTGGTAGGAATTCCTCTAATTCTAGTGTTATTTAAGAAAAAGGTGGGACAAGCATATTTTTTGGCAGGACAAATAATTTTACGATGGTAACCTGTCCGAGGGCAAGTTCTAAAAAATTCTATTTGTCTACCCCTGTCAGACACAAAATTGCCTGTACATGTGATACAACTGTAAGTCAAGGTTAAATGAAGCCTTAGGCTAGGGTAAGTCTTTAGGTGAAGTAAACCTTAGTTTAATGTAGAAAGTGATTTGCCTGGAAGAGTTAACCTATCGGCACTCTCTGTTTTAACCCCCCCCCCCCCCCCCCCCCCCCCCAAAAAAAAGCATGGCTACAGAGCTGCTGGTTTTTTGAAACCTTATGTCTTTATGCTAGCTTTCATTTTTAAAGTTTAAATGTATTCAGTTTTGTCTGCTTTGGCAGACAGGAATACATCATAACCTAATCTGTCTGCCTCTATATACATGTTTTATATAACCCCTTTGTACATGCTGTACTATTGAAGGTCTTCATATGCAGACATGCAGAAACAGAGCATGTGAATACAGCTCTAACATGTCTAAGGTTTCAAGTTCATCATTGCTGAATATGATTATAAGCTTTGATTACTGGTGAGAAGGTTTGATAAGGAAATTTATTAAAGTCTTATCATGCTCATCCTGTCAAATTCAGACAAGGGTTTTTAAACATTGCGTATCTTTCATCGAGTTTAAAGGTACATGCATATATTTTAAACTGCTGCCAAGATACAAAGTGAACAGATTTAGAAATCTTTTTTGAACTTTGACGGCTATTATTTCCTAAACTGAAAATTGTCAGTGTCAAAGATGATCATGCCTGTCAAATAAGTGAAGAAGACTAAAGTAAATAAACAATATTCTCAGATGAATGCTAAACAAAAAATTTAGATATGATCTTTTGCTTGATTAAACTAATTATGTAGCATGGGTTTGTTCTTGGCTTAATTCAAGATCATAGCACCTAGCGTAGTCACTAGGCCAGATTTATCCATGGGTAGCAGCTAGGCAAATATATCATTCAAGATTGTAGCTTTATGTAGAGCTACGTAGCCCCCATGATCTTCAACACGCCCCTGTATGCATTTTCTAGAGTGTCATTCAATATATTTCAGGTCAGAAACCACAGTATGTACAGAAGAAGAGAACGATATACCCAGAATGGAACACTTGTTTCGATGCTCACATTTATGAAGGTCGAGTCATTAACATGATTGTCAACGAGAAGCCAAACAATATGCTGGCTGAGGTAACCATCAGCGCTCGGGCCCTGGCTGACAAGTGTAAGGACGGCAGTATATCCACCACATGGGTAAGACAAACAGAATTACATTGTATGTCAGGTCTGCTATCTTTTAGTAAAAGTTTCTAGCTGTTGAACTCCAATAGGAGGGTCATGTCAAAAAAAGTTAAAGGTAAGTAATTTAGAAGAGCTTTGTCCAGTTAAGATTTGACTTTTGAGCTTTTGAAAAGAAAATCATGAATATATAAAACTTTTTGTTGTTCATATGGACAGTTTACACCGTAACAATTAAGTCTGAGTGTAGAAAGACTTTTTATGGCCCAGTAATTGGAGATTCTGGGGCATATAGTTTTTGGTCTGTTTGTCTGTCTTTCTGCAAAAACTCTAACCTTGGTCAGAACTTTTGAACAATTGATGCTAGGGGTTTCATATTTCACATGCATTTTTTGTGACAAGACCTTTCTGTTGATTTCAACAGTTTTTACCTCTTGACTTTGGAGATTGACCTACTTTTGAAAAACTTTAACCTTTCTTAACCTTTCTTGGTCATAATTTTTGTTTGAACAGAAGGTGCAAGTTCTTTCATATTTCATGTTTGCAATCCCTGTGACATTAGACCTTTCATAGGGCACCGACATTTTTTTTACCTTATGACATTGACGTGACCTACTTTTGAAAAACTTTTACCTTGGTCATGAGCTACCCTATGGGGACATCAGTGTTTCACTGATGTTAGGACGGGGCTCTTTTGAAATAATGGAAAATACAGGTAACTCTTGATGGCTCGAACTTCGATCTCTCGAAGTTCTTGATCGCTCGAAGTGAGTCTCCGGTCCCGAATTTTTCCCTTATATAACTAAGCAAATTTACTCTTGATTTCTCGAACTCTTGATCTCTCGAAACCCTTGATCCCTCGAAGTCAAAATACAGTCCCGCTATGCATATTCTATTAGAATTTACCCTCGATACCTCGAAGTGGCTATGTCTATACAAGGTTACATAATTAGCACCTTTACCTGGACATTTAAATGGCCCAAGGCAGAAGAAGCGGGTCCCGAGGAAAGGGATATTTATTCAGGTGACACTTATGCTGCAAGGTGATAATTGACTTACAATTAATCTTATTTTGCCTATATGTTATTAAAACAATTATCATCGACTGTCTTACGATAATTTAGAGACGCAGTGTCAGTGAAAAGTAGTACTAACTGATTAAAACACGAAACACTAATTTAATTTTTATTTCGAGTCAGTGTCAAAGTTAAACGAAAAATGAAAAAGCAGAAACAGCCTCAATGTCAATATGACGACTATTATTGGACAAATACTTACAGAACTGCATTCAATGATTATGTTTGGAATAGTCAATGCTATGTACGCTGTAAAATGTCGTTTTCATGTAACGAATGCGTAGTATGATGTCCGTATTACAAAGAATAAATAAATATACATGAAATGACGATACACAATTTTTGCTTTACTCAGTTTAATGAAATATTCATCTAAATTAATTCGTTGTTTTATAAAAACCACGTGTAAAAGGTTAGCACTGCATGAAAATCATTACATCCAGTAAGACTAATTTTAAAGCCTGTCAACAAACCCGGAAAATTCCGGACTCTTGAAAACTCGAACTCTTGATCTCTCTAAGTTTTTCCTCAGTCCCGCGGACTTCGAGGTATCGAGAGTTACCTGTACATTAATTCTTTAAAAGATTTTCTTCTCTGCTCCTGAGTATTTAGAAGGGCTCAAAGTTGCGAGTAATTAATTGGCAAATGCAAGTTAAATTGGATTCAAACTTAAGTCAAAATAGTCAAGATGGCAGGCTTGAGGAAACAAATCCTTTGGATTTTCTATCCTATGGTCCAAAATGAGGAACATACACAAAGACAGTGTGTAAGACCCTAACTTTTCTGTCTGCAGAATCATCAAAGTCGGAACTGAAATCTCAAGGACAGTTTGCAGAGAAATAATAAATTGTTGTAGGAGTTCTGTAAGCGCAATATGTTCACTCAGATTCCTTGTAACCTAAAGTCATATGCTCTACCAAATATTACATAGGTATCAATGAAGAAATTCCCAGTTTAATAAAAAGAAAAATGATAGGATATAATTTATAATATAATCTAATCTGCTTGATCTGTACTTGAAGATTAACTTCCTTTTCATTTTTGTTTATAAACAAGGGTTACATTTAAAATCACTTTGAAAAATAATTTTTAGCTTTGGATGAGCAAAGTTAGTTTTTTATTCAAGCACATGGATTGATCAAATAAAATATTTTGACAATGCCAACCCCATGGATTCAACAAGCATGATCATTATAATGGATGATCCAGTGTTTTTGACTTTTCTTAATGCCAAATAAAGGATATAACCAGGGTCGTCATCTTCATTTATGAAACACTGTTTTTTTTTTTTTTTTAAAACATTTCCTTTTATATCTGAAAGCAACCTACAATTACAATTTCCATTAGCCACCTCAATTTTAGAATCACCAGTTTAAGAAAGTAGGTTGCCATTTTGCAACCTTGTCCTAAAGTCTACTTTGAGCCCCGTTAAGAAGACAAACTAAGTGCATGGTTATGATGATCAAGGGTGCCTCTATCTTAATTGTGAAATTCATGGCCCCTGGGATATTAATTTTTATTTAACTTTAAATCTTCTTCTTTGCTCCTGGGTATCTAGCAGGCTTATTAAGTAATAGTTTTAAATAGGAGAGTTTTTTTTTTTTTTTACCAGTTTTTTGAAATTCATGACCACTGGGTTAGGGATTATTGTTTTAGGGCAAGGTTCTTTAAAACATGCAGGTAAATTTTTACTGTGAGAGAGGTTATTTCACTTTGATTTTTAACTTATGATAATTAAGAGGGTTGTATATACTCAGGGGATTATTAAGACCCTTGGGTCTCTTGTTATGATCCAATATTGGCTACTTTGTTAAGATTAATGTGCCTGTAGGATGAAGGAGATGTAGAGTTTGTTACATTATGTCAGTCCTTCTCATTCCTGTAAAGCCAGAAAAATGTCTGTACCAAAACTTTGTCCTGAACTCTATAATTAAAGTTTTTTTATTCTTATTTTACAGAGTTAAAAAAACAGTAGCATGCATAAATTTAACAAAAGTTTGTCCTAGACCTGTCCAGAAAATTGCAGGCAACATAAAATACAACACTGTAGAAAGGGAATGTTAGGGATAGAAGCATTTGACGTAATGCATTGAAGCACAAAGCTTTCACACCATAGAGAATGTCAAAAAACCATAATTGATCTCAAATGGATCCTGTGTTGTGAATAATTAATTAGGACAGAAAGTTGTTTTTAGTCCAAATCACACTGTGTAGCAAGGAGCCATGGATCATTCATTGATGGCTAAAAATAAATCCTCACATATTTCATGACAGCAATCTTCTTTCTTGCTCTTAGTTTGTATAGGAAACACTCTATAAACATCAAACTCTACAGACTTAATAAATTCTATTCATTGAAAATTGCTAAAAAAAAAAAAATCCCCCATATTTAACACGAAATATATTCAGTAAATAGAATACCCCAAGATAAGTAAATATGTCATAAACATACTTTGGTGACCACAAATAATAAACTGAAAGCACAAATTATAAGGATTCAATCAATTCAGCATTTTATTGGAATTCAGAATTTTTCAGTTTGCACTGCTGTAGAGTCATATAATCACATACATGTAAATTAAATGGCTATTTTTGTGTCTGATTTTGCAAACCATTGTGACATTCCAATTATATAGTAAGATTTTTTTCAAAAGTACTTTGGTATACTGTATGAAGTTTTATATCAACAAATCTTTATCCCTTTCTTATTCTCTTGGTAAATATTTTTACCAGAGTAAAGATGCTTGTATTATTGCAGAGCCTGTCAGTAATAGATTGATATCTGTTTAGGTTGGCCATTTTTTACAATGACAATGATAGCATCATTTGACTGCAGTTGATCTGTAATTTGATTGAGCGTTTAGATCAAATAACAGCTAAAGCTTGCAGTCTTGCCAGTGTATTGATTTGCTGAGCTCTCCGGATCAGGAGATGTTAGCACTTAACTGCCACTTTAAGAGGCTCTCATAAATATCTTCAGCCTCACCATGTTACATGAGGTTTATTCTTCAGGAGGGAGACTTTTACTGCAGCTATGTGCTCCAACACATTGTAATCTTTGCCTGTTCTTGTCATCAGTTTTTTGCTACAGAGGTGTTCAGAGAGAGAGAGAGAGAGACTTTAATGTAATTGAGCTGCTGTAATAAGCCCTGCCGTATGATTACTTGGAAGAGAGTTTATAGACAAGATATATGAGGATTGATTTTCCATATATCAAACACCCTTTTCTAACCTTTGTACATTGTCATACACTGTTAGGAAGTCTATCTCCTGAGAGCTGGCATTTTGTTCACGACTGATGTTCCTTCTCTACAACCTTTGATTACTATAACACCCCCTCTCTCTTCATCTCACTTCTTTTTTTTCATGCAAGTGAAGTGAGAATTTATGTCTGCAGTCCTAGCAAAAGTAACGAATTGTTATAAATATCTGTTGTGATTGGCATTAGTGTAATTTGTAGATGATTCTGCTAGCCTGTAGATTTTAGGTTTTGGATTTTGTGGTGATGAGAGTAGAGTTTTACTGCCCAGCTATTATTTTTCCCCTATCATGATAGTAAATACACCATGTCATGAATAAAAGCTAATTATGAGTGTTGTTCAGAAACAACTTTGTCTGTCTGTCTGATCTCCCTGCACTGTGGGCCAGGTATTCTTGGTTAATACTTAGCAGAATTTACATATTTTCTGTAAGCGGAAAATGAATGAATAAAGACAAAAAGGAATTTAGAGGTCATTAGAAGTTCAAAAGGTCACAGTAATATTGATATGGACATTATTGCCATATTAAGTCTTGCTATCCTGAAAAAAAAAAAATTTTACCTATAACAATTTTTTTTGAAAGATACAACTTGAAACATTCATTTTAGAACGTTTTTTTGGTTAAACATGGGAAATATTCCAACAATAATCTGTAAATATTTTTTGTTCATTTCAGCTGGATTTGAAGCCCTCTGGTAGATTACAAATACAGATTCGATTTTTCTCCGAAACTGAAGGTAAGGAAACATGAGCTAACATTTAATTGATTTATTTTATAGAAATCGTAAATGTTGGGGCATGAATAAAAATGTGTCAGTTTTTGTTTCTGCATCTTGTAACAGTTAATGCCACCATCACTTTCCACATGTAATACCGTATAGGGTAGCCATGCAGTTCAGAGGAAATATACCCATAACCGTTACTTTGAAATTGATCAGATAATAAAACAAGATGGGTGGTTTGGAATCTTGTATTTAGTATCATATACAGAATTGATGTATTAAAAAGTGTATATAAAAATAAAAATGAAATTGATTTCCTTATATTTTTATTCCTAATTAACATCAAAAAGCTATTTTGATCAAGACTTAATTTAATTTAAGGCCATCCTTAAAAAATTGATTGTTTGGAATTGCAGCTTGGGGGGTTTCAGACCAAGGAGGGAGGATGGGAACTTTTCTTTTTTTTTTCTATATTAAATGAAGGTAAATTAAAAACTGTTGATAAAAACTGTCAATAAGCACTAAACACTCTATTTTTTTACTTTTTGTAAAAGTATCTCCCATCAACAAAGAAGTTGCTTAGATCTGACCCTATTTAGGTGTTTTGGTGGTGCAATTGACAACAGGCCAAGAATTGATTGAATAAAAAAAATCTTATTTTTGGTCAATAAAATTTTTCCAGGAGGGGTCATTTCAATGAGGCGGGAGGCAATTCAAAACAAACCATAATTTTTATTTTGGCCTATTAAGACATAAGTAATACCAGACACAGACTGTATCATATGCTTCAAGGGATAGAAAATGTCAGGAAATAAAGTGTTCGTGTCATTAAAATTAGTACTTTTTCCTAGTAAACTGATGTAAATTATTGTGTCCTTAAATGAAATTGTTTATCATTTTGTACCCAGTTGAGTCATTTTTCTGTGATTTGTCACATATTGACATACTGCCCGTGTAAGTTAGTTAATCTAGCTTATCTCAGGATAAGACTTTTGATTAAAAAGCCCATTGCAGAACAGAGAGAGAGAGAGAGCTAAGGGAAATAAAAAACACAAAGATTTGAAATAAGAATACAAACTAATGGAATGTTAATCCTTACTATTTAATTTCCTTTCTCTGTAGCCAAAAAAAAAGTTTTAGGGGGATGCCAGAGATTGTCTTAGGGGGATGCCAGAGATTGTCTTAGGGGGATGCCAGAGATTGTCTTAGGGGGGATGCCAGAGATTGTCTTAGGGGGATGCCAGAGATTGTCTTAGGGGGGATGCCAGAGATTGTCTTAGGGGGATGCCAGAGATTGTCTTAGGGGGAATGCCAGAGATTGTCTTAGGGGGATGCCAGAGATTGTCTTAGGGGGGATGCCAGAGATTGTCTTAGGGGGATGCCAGAGATTGTCTTAGGGAATAAGGAAGTGAGTCATTTAGTCTGTCAACACACAGGAGGGAAATAGTGGGAGATCCATTTACACGGGATTTTAAAGTGGGTTAACTTGTTAATAGCAAAGGATTCAACTACTAATGTACTTGTGGATAACACGAGACATTTCATGACCTCGATCAATTCATCAGTATATTTTCTCTTCTGATTTGCATACTCATGTTTGATGGACATAGAACTTGGGAGAGCTGTCAGAAGTCTAGTATCTAATTATGACAGTGGAGCACTCTTAAAACAGCTAGGACATTATTACAAAAAAAACATTGCTAACATATGAAAGCAGAACTCTATTACAAGTATACATGCCAAATCTTGGTTCACAATCATGACTAATTATTTTATTTGTAAGCCTTCTTATTTGTAAGATAATTAATAGTTATGACCTTGACAATACTTTACATCCCCATCCCTGATCTCTTACAAATGACCTTGATGCTGGGTCATAACCCTTTGTACTGGGTGAATTTTGTAAGCTCTTAACAGTGTGTTTAACCTTTAGTACAGTTAACATGGTTAAAGTATGTAAAAGTTGATGATGATTCTAGGATTAAGGAAATGTCTTCTGTTGTAATACTGTGAAATCACTATTTTTCATGAGGGTTTAATTTTCGTTGTTTTCGAGGTATGAAGAGACCCATGAATTCATATCCTCCACAAAATATATAATGTTATATGTATATAACTACGCAACAATTCTTCATCCACGTAATCAAATCCCCATGAACCCATAGTTTTTCTTCAAACCACGAAAACTTGACCCCACGAAAATATGTGATTTTGCACTATATATTAAGATATTTAGTTTCATAATGGAAATTTCAGCTTGATAGGCATAGAGAAGTTTAGACAAGAGTAACTGATATGATTTATTTTACATCTGGGATTGCTCTCTCTATTCTTAACTCATACTCTCTTAGCTTTATTGAATTTCCTGGTATGAATTTATAGGCTTATTGTGATGCTATTGTAAGGTTACACACAGATTAAAATGTACACATGTATATACAAATTTATTAATCTAAAAATGTCAGATACAGATTTGTTAGTAAAGATTTAATTTAAATTTCAGTACATGTATAATAAGTAATATTACATACATAAGATCATAGGGCCGAGACTTGAGGTTTTCTCCTATTCCCTTCTCATTTAACAATAGGATGTTCATAGTAAACAATTTGTGGAATTCAAATATAAGCAGCTTATTTGAAAAAGATGTTGGATCTTACAGTTAGCACAAAAAAACAATGAAACTTTTCCCATAGTGAAAACAACATGAAAAACAATGCAAAAGAATTGAATTATTAAAATGCATTAATAAAGAAACTAATAAAAGAGGAGGGCTATAAGAAATGAAATGATGTAGAAATTGGCATGACTTGAGCATGTACGTGTTGTTATTGATTGTGTTATGTTTGTAGAGGTAGCCCCGGGACCTTCCCTGAAGTCCAAAGGTAAAAATCCTTGTGTTTGCCTGCTTGTGTTACTTTGGTTGTGTGTTTGCCTGTAGAGTTAGACCATTAGTTGTGTGCTAGTCATTGCTTTACTGACCCCTATCATACAGTCATGCTCTATCACCCAATCATACTGAAAACTCATCAACTTTAGTCCCAGTTATTTTTATTTTCTCATTTTTTAAAAGCACTTGATTTTAATTAGATTTTTTTTTTATATTTGTTAGATTTATATACTAATATCTGCTACTTATAGGTTTTGGAGTGCATGTTTATGGTAAACAACATAATTAGTCTAGATTTAATTTTTAAATTCTAAAGATCAGATAAAAGTTTATGAAAATTCATTTCAAGCATAGGTTTTAAATCTATAAATAAGGAAAATACTTTTACTTTTATAAAAATAAAAAATTCATAGTTAATTTTTTTCAGCTTTACTTGTCAAAGACCGTAAGAACATATTCAATGGTAAAGTATGTAATCTGTCTCTATAGCTGTCTGCCTGTCCATCTGTAGACAGTTTCTCAAACTGCTTCTCTGCTACCAGTTTTGGTCCAATTTTAGTAAAACTTGGTACATAAGTAGACCACACCTAGTTTTGAGTTAAAGAACAGTGATGCCTCGGTTACTAATAAATAAAATCTTCTGCACAATTGTCCGATTTAAATAAAACTTAGTAATCCAGTAGATTATGCTACCATATATACATTTACAGAATTTAGTATTCTTGCATTCTCTAAATTTACACCAATTTTGTATAAATTTAGAGAATGCAAGGATACAGTCTAGTCAAAGACATCATTTTTTAGCAAATCATTTTAAATCAGCCCGATTGTTAGTTATCATTTTGTTTGTATGCATCAGGTACTACCCTAATCCCCTGCTATCATAATGGTGTATAATTATAGCTATATATAGCATTGCTATGTTGCGTATAATTTAATGCGGTACTTATATATACATGTATAGCCTACTCCACTTAAATTGAAATTGCTTATTTTGAAGTAAAACTAAATCCCAATCTCAGTTTCTCATTATCTTTGCAATAAAATATTGCTTAAATTGAAATCGCTTACATTGAATTATCACTTATTTTGAAGTAAATTATCAGTCTGCTGAGTTGATAATGAGTTGTTTTTATAACGGTTATATTGAAGTCTTCCTGGCCAGTCATCACAATTGGTGACATCATAATTATACAGGTAGATGTCAAGGTGTCAGTAGATATATTTTCACCTTATATGCTTCCATTGCATGGTTTATAATAAGAAATTAATTACTAAGGACTATCTTTGTTTCCCAGATCACATATTGATAGCAATTTTGAACAGCTGCTGTTTGAACACTATGACACGCTTGTGAAAATGGGTAAATCACAAGAAAGAATAACATTGTCTTCAAATGATTAAATTGAATAAATTTCTGCCTAAGATAAAAATTTGAAATCTTAATCCAAGTTAGTGAAGGTTTTTGGGAGAAATCTGAGCCCACACTAGCTATGATATAAATGTACAATCAGCATGTTGCTGTTTTTGAAGACCTCGAATCCATGCGAGTCTGGTGGCTTTCCCCAATACCGATAAAGAATAAGATCACAAAATTACACCCAGGTTGAAAAATGTCGGGATTTGTTGTTTTAGTTTAAAAAAAATTTAAATGAACAAACTTTTTCATTTCACTATTCAAGTGCTGTAAATTTAATCAGGTAATGTTAATGTTGATTTTGGTTCGTGTTTTAGATCAGGGTCAGGATTTTAAAATGTTTTGATAGGCAATTTTGCTTATTTTGAACTTTCGGTTATATTGAAAAAAAATGTGTTGGTCCCTTGAATTTCAGTATATCCAAAGTAGACTATACATGCATAATACTCATTGATATGTGGTAGGAAACAAAAAAGAATTGGAAAGATTGATAGACTTTTGATATAACAATTAGGAAAACGAGATGTGTTTGCGAAACACTGATGCCCCTATATGGCAGCTCAAGGTGAAGGTTAAAGTTTCTCAAATGCAAGTCAAAGTCAAGGTCAAGAGATCAAAAATGTTGGTACCCAAGGGAAGGTCTCTTCTCAAGGAACATACCTGTGAAATATGAAAGGCCTAGCACCTACCATTCAAAAGTTATGGCAAAAGGTTAGAAGTGGGTCAAATATCAAGGTCAGAGGGTCAAATGGTCAAAATTAATTGTGCTAAAGGGAGGGTCTTGTCGCAAAAAATAGACATGCGAAAATATGAAAGCCCTAGCACCAACCATTCAAAGTTATGGACAAGGTTAAAGTTTCCAAAAGTAGGTCAAATTCAAAGGTCAAAATCAAAGGGTCAAATTTGTTGGTACCAAAGGGAAGGTCTTAACACAGGAAGTACACTTGTGAAATATGAAAGCTCTAGCACCAACTGTTTAAAAGTTATGGTCAAGGTTAAAGTTTAAAAATTAGGTCAAACTCAAAGATCAAGGTCAAATCGTCAAAATTCTTGGTACCCACGGGAAGGTCTTGTCACAAGGAATACACTTTTTGAAATATGAAAGCCCTAACATTAACCATTCAAAAATTATGGCCAAGGTTAAAGATTTTTAAAAGTGGGTCAAACTCCAAGGTCAAATATGATGGTACCCAAAGAAAGGTCTCTTCACAAGGAATACACATGTGAGATATGAAAGCCCTAGCTCCAACCAAACAAAATTGTGGGGCAAGATTAAAGTTTTTGTGGGTAAGCAGACAGACAGACGGACAGATAAAAAACAATATGCCCCCAAACCTTCGGTTATGGGGGCATGAAAAATGAATGTAACATTTTAAAGCTTGATTCTAAAGGAAATAAAACTCCATTGCCAAGTGGCTGCAGAGTTAAAGAATAAAATAAACATACCAGTAGATAGGGCCAGGGTTTGTGTATATATTTGTAGTGCCTGGATAATCAAAATACATACTGCTGCTGTTAAGTACAGTTTATGTTCAGAAAATTAATATGTGCAGCTGTCATGACATTGCAATAGTATTGAAATGTAGAAATATATATAGAATGAAATTCACTGTAATCTTGACCTTTTTCATGTATTTTGTCAAGATTTTACCTTGTATTAAAAAAATAGTAAAATCTCCATTTAAAAAAAAAACGATCAAGAATGTCAGAATAATAATAAAAAAACTATCAAATCCATTATTTTCCTTAAATTGATATAGAGTTGTGTCGTAACAGTTTTGTTAAGTTTTTTTGATGTCTTTTCAGAACAATTTCCACAAGAATCGGAAAAAGGGGGAGGAATCACTAGAAGAAGAGGGGCCATTAAACAACAGAAAGTTCACGAGGTCAAAGGTCACCAGTTCATTGCCAAATTTTTCCGACAGCCCACCTACTGTTCATTCTGTAATGAATTTCTTTGGTTAGTATATCTTAATGTTTGGTTAGTATATCTTTTTATTTGGTTAGAATATTTATAATGATAAATCCTATACTTCTATTTACCAATATAGATGTAAATAAATAAATATAGATATAAACAATTGAAAGATATCATGGATATGAAGTAATTGAGCTGAGTTATCCAAATCATATGTTATATATCCATAAATTGTTACATCCAGCTGATATTTCATTAGTTTGAACTTCTTGATGAGAGAATATTAATTACCTTGTTATAAGCAAATATTCACTTCGTGTGTTATCACTATCAACATATTCTAGACATATAATGTGTAAGACTTTGTTCTCTACAATTAATTAAAACTATATTACAGGGGACTCAACAAACAAGGCTACCAGTGTAAAAGTAAGGAAATGTCAAAAATATGTAAACATTCTAGTCAGTTAATAAAATCATGAAAGACATGAAGTTTACATTCAAAGCATTCTGTATCCTAGACAGGGAACAGTTTAACTATTTTGTATTTAATTAAAAAAAAGGGCTATACACTGTAATTTGTAACTTGTTGACTTAGATTCTTGCTGTGTTTGTTGTTTCAGTATGTAATTGTGCTGTCCATAAGAAATGTCATGAAAAGATTCTTGGACAATGTCCAGGCAGTGCCAAAGACAGCCGTGAAACCAAGGTTAGTGTTACTATAATTTGGGGGGGGGGGGGGGGGGGGGGCTTGGACAATGTCCAAGCAGTGCCAAAGACAGCCATGAAACCAATGTTAGTGTCACTATAATTTGGGGGGTAGGGGGCTTGGACAATGTCCAGGCAGTGCCAAAGACAGCCATGAAACAAAGGTCTGTGTCTTTTGTGTACGGGCCTTCAGCTTCAAAGCTGATACAATAACAATGGTTCTGATGATTGGGAACTGATCTTCCAATATAATGTGTTACAAATTGTCCTGAGTTCTTCCTCAGAATGATGGAATATGATTTTTGATTTCAGCTGATGTCAGAGAGGTTTAATATCAATGTCCCCCACAGATTTAAGGTTAACAACTACATGTCTCCCACATTTTGTGATCATTGTGGAACTCTGCTGTATGGGTTGTTTAGACAGGGACTCAAATGTGAAGGTATCAAAATTTAAGATATGCAACTTGCAAAAATATATAAATTTATTTGTGCAGTGGACAATTTACTCATGGAAAATCTAGCTGATCTCTTTTTATTATTCCTAAAACTTGTTTTAAAAGAGAACAATTTCTATTTCCTGATTCATGCAGTTGCATTTCTCTATTTCTTATTGATTTATTTAAGGAATGAATTTAATAGCTACCCATTTTATACGGTATAAACTGGGTTGGGGCAGTTTACGCTTTATAAACTGCGAAGCGGTTTATAAAAAAGCGTAAACTGTTCCAACCCAGTTTATACCATATAAAATGGGTAGCTATGAAATTCATTCCTTATAATTTAATTTTCATTCATTTGGTGTAAGAAAAAAAGATGACTGTCCTTAAAAATTACTTCAATTTGTACAAAATTTGAATGTAACGTCAGGCGGATCGATACGTTTTTGACGCGTCATTGTGACGTAGGCAACCCATTTTATACGATATAAAGTAATTTTTTATCCAATCAAATACAGCGTTACAACCAGAATTAAATTATTTTAAAATAAAATGAACTTGGAATAAACTTGTTTTGTAGTGTGTGGGACAAATTGTCATAAGAAATGTGAGAAGTTCATGCCTAACTTATGTGGAGTTAATCAGAAAATGTTAGCAGAGGTTCTTCAGCAGGTCAGGAAAGCGCCCTCTGTCAGTCAACGAAAGGCCGGCACGGGAACTGTGGTACGCTTACATCCATTGGACAAATCATCAACTGTATTGTTATACAGCTGTCATAATAAATTATGGCCTGTTTTTAATTTCATGTCAAATTTAACATTTAAAAAGATTTCCAAATAAAGAGAGTTTCACAAACAAATTCAAAGAATTTTTTAAATAAAAGTGTGAATGTTTTCTCTTGACTTGAAACTTTTTAGTCACAATAGGCTGTGTTATCTGTTGATAAACACAGTAGTGCTTGTTTTAAAATTTCCTAGCTTTATATCGAGTCTACTTTTGGTTTAATAATGGACTGACTGAAGTAAATAAGTTATTCATGCTGTAGATGATATAGATTATGAAATTGCATGCTACTATCACATTTTTGCATTTATTTATGCTGAATGATTGAATACATCACTTTAAATTGACATAATTGACACATTTCTCCTGAACAAGAATACAGAGTACGAAGTTTGTGACAAGAAAATTTGGGGAGGGGGAGGAAAGCCTTGCAAAGAAGAGTTTAAAAAAAAGTGAGGGGAGGGGCTATCATGTAGAGTGGCAATTTATCTAAATTCTTCCTAAAATAATGCAATACTTGAGCCCCATTTCTTTTTTAATTATTATTGATTATTTAAGGTTAAGGAACCTGGTGTAGGACTACAGGTAATATAAGAGGTTGTGAATACAGATACATCAATTATTCATTACAAAAAATATTTAATAGGTTTAACTCATGCAAGTTTGATTACAAGAATTTAATATGAAAGAATTTAGTTTCTATATCAAAGAGAAAGTTGGACATTAGATTTCAGAGATACATAAGTAATGTCTACAAAGTAGAAAAGTGAGTGGTTACTATAACATTGAGTTTACAGAAATTTGTATGAATTCATTTTTAGAACCAAGAGGAAAGCAGCTCAGATGATGAAGCTCAGGGATATGAACAAATCTGGGAGAAAAATGGCCCCCCTCTGGAGCCCCCAGGCAGTAAACCACCAGCTGCTCCCAGACGGAAATTCTCCCCCAACGATTTTGTTTTCCTGAAAGTTTTAGGCAAAGGAAGTTTTGGAAAGGTGAAATTAAACTGTGTTCATTCTGAGCAAGTATATATGAAATATATTTCCTATATATGACTCTCTGAATTTCTTTAAGCATGGTTTTAAAAGTAAAATATTTTCTTCAATTCTTAAAAGTTTTGTACACATCACTTAGTTTTTTGATACAGGGTGGCACGTGTACACACATGTTCATTAAGCATTTTTCCCTCATTTCAAATCTATTTACAAAATAAAGAATAAAACTTACATTGCACATTTTATATACTACATAGAAGAAGTGTTTGTGTATAATTTTTGATGGTTCTTGTCTTTAAAGGTTATGCTAGCTGAGCTGAAGGGTCGAGGGAAATATTATGCTGTCAAGGTCCTGAAGAAAGACGTGGTATTGGAGGACGACGACGTAGAGTGTACAATGATTGAAAAACAAGTGCTGGCCCTGGGCTGTCAGCATGCCTACTTAACTCATCTACATAGTACTTTCACCACACAAGTAAGTACTACTAATGTACACTATTAAGTACTAGAAATAGTATTACAATGAAAGAGAAACAAGTGCTGGTCCTGGACTGTCAGCATGCCTACTTAACTCATCTACATAGTACAATGTACTTTCACCACACCAGTAAGTAATTCTAATGTACACTATTAAGTACTAGATATAAATGTAGTATATACACTGTTAGAATAACACCTGCTACTATGGAATGTCTGTATGCTTATATATCTCACCTACATAATACTTTCACTATACCACTAAATTAATAAACATCAGTATAGGGCATGAAATAATAATAAAAAAAAAACACAAGTACCAGCCAGAAAGGCCAGAAAAAGTACACCAGAAAATACTGAGTACTGAGTGAGAGAATTGCTGGCTATGGAATGTTTGTATAGTACCTGCTTTTATTTACAAACTAATCAGGCTTTCATAAAGCCAATCAGTGTTTCCTCAACTAAACATGATTTCATTTAGATACTGCCCTAAAAAGTTCCTTGGAAGAACAGTCAAACAGCTGTGTACATAATCGACTCTCCAAAAATATATATATATACATATCATTGACTTGAATTACAGACTTGTTTTAAGAAATAGAGTTAATATCTTAATTAATGGATAAGCACAAAATTATTACTTGTAATATTGTATTTTTTTTCTCCAAAAGAAGTACTAAGTGAACAAAAAATATCAAGTGTATAATTTATTTTCAGAGCCATCTTTTCTTTGTCATGGAGTATTTAAATGGAGGGGATTTGATGTTCCATATACAGCTCTCTGGGAAGTTTGATATGCCCCGAGCTCAGTAAGTTATAAACATCTCTCTGGGAAGTTTGATATGCCCCGAGCTCAGTAAGTTATAAACATCTCTCTGGAAAGTTTGATATGCCGAGAGCTCAGTAAGTTATAAACAGCTCTGGGAAGTTTGATATGCCCTGAGCTCAGTAAGTTATAAACATCTCACTGGGAAGTTTGATATGCCCCAATCTAAGTAAGTTATAAACAGCTCTCTAGGAAGTTTGATATGCCTCAAGCTCAGTAAGTTATAAACAGTTCTCTGGGAAGGTTGATATGCCCTGAGCTCAGTAAGTTATAAACAGCTCTCTGGGAAGTTTGATATGCCCAGAGCTCAGTAAGTTATAAACAGCTCTCTGGGAAGTTTGATATGCCCAGAGCTCAGTAAGATATAAACAGCTCTCTGGGAAGGTTGATATGCCCAGAGCTCAGTAAGTTATAAGCAGCTCTCTTGGAAGTTTGATATGCCCCGAGCTCAGTAAGTTATAAACAGTTCTCTGGGAAGTTTAATATGCCCTGAGCTCAGTATGTTATAAGCAGCTCTCTGGGAAGTTTGATATGCCCCAAGCTCAGTAAGGTATAAACAGCTCTCTGGGAAGTTTGATATGCCCCGAGCTCAGTAAGGTTTCTTGCAGCAATTAATAAAATTGTTTACAGAAATTTTTATTACACCAAGAAAAACTTGATTTAAGCATGAATACAACAACACTGAGGGATGTACCTTTGTTTGTTATGAAATATTATTTACACATCTATTCAGAACAAATGTTATCTTTTAGTTGACACTACATGTACCTGCTTTACTTTATTTGAATTATGAAGTTGTTACTAGAATAGAGGTACCTTTATGTTTGTTTTTGTTTCTTTTCAGATTCTATGGTGCAGAAATTTTGTTAGGATTACAGTATTTACATACCAGAGGAATTGTATACAGGTAAGCTAATGTTATGTTGAACAAAAGCTTACTTATTTTTTTCTTTTGAACAAGGTAATAACTACACAGATATGTATCCAATCATCTTGCTCTTTGTTTTATTGCCTTTCCTTCTTCACAAGAAGCTTTGAATTAACATGGATAATAATTGCACAGAAGTCTATCTACCTGCAATAATGTGGCATTGTCTGATTTTTTATCTGATGTTTTCCAGAGAAAATAGAAAGGGGGAGGGATACATTATTGCCACTAAGTCACCTTGCTGTTTGTTTTATTATTGTCTTTTCTACTTTACAAGAAGGTTTGAATTAAAATTGACTTTTTGTTTTGGTGATTAGTGGGCTTAGCATGAACTGAATAATGTGAAGGTTAAAGGGGGGTCACATGATAATTTTGTAGTAAGTCTCTTTGTGGAAACTTCACTTTTAGGGCCCCTGATGCTGGTTTCCTTCCCTATAGTCCTTCTTCTGTCCACATTTGTATGTGATGTTATAAGTGGAACACATATAACTCAATAAATTCATATTTTCAACATTCATGGAAAATGCATATAGAAACACTAAAAAATATTGGGTGCATGATCACAAATCAAGGTCAAAGGTCAAGATAACTGTCTTTTTATGACATGATAATTGAATACTTTTCAACCAAATGACTGTAGACATGTTGAATTTTGTTAAGGTCAAAGTAAAAAGCTCAAGGCAAAAAGATCAGTATACATGTAATTATTGACATATTGTGTTTTCTAAAAAAAGTTCTTTGTGTTCTATGTATCTCAAGGTCATTGAATGACAATAAATCATTTGTATAAGATTTCAAGGTCAAGAGTCAAAAGAAATGGAAATGGAAGAAATGGAAACTATTGTTCCAGCAATAGTTTTTTAGTGCATGTTTAGAAAAAATCTTTCGAAAAAAACATTCTGTCAGAAGTGAGAAGATAATTTACAGTAATTCAGATAAGCCATATTTGGAGTGGGTTATACCAGGAAGGTTTTATTTGAGTGTAGTCCTGTGTGAAGAACTGTTAACTTTTGTGTAATGTTTAAACTTTACAACAGAGCATTTCTTTTGTAGAGATCTTAAGCTAGATAATGTTTTGTTGGATCGGGAGGGGCACATAAAGATAGCTGACTTTGGAATGTGTAAACTGAATGTGTTTGACGAGAGGAAAGCTACAACATTCTGTGGTACTCCAGACTACATCGCCCCCGAGGTAACTAACAACCACCCACAAGGAAATGTCAAATAAATTCATTTTAAACAATCCCAATGTAATGGATGTTTTGAACACAGCTTTAAATTTGAGAAAAATGTCTTTTGAGTCATTAAGATGATGACCAAATCTGGAGCGGGAACCTTGCCATTGTATATAATTTTCTTATGACGAAATTTAATTCAAACATTTTTATTTAAGAATTTTTAAGTAAACTGTTATTTGAGAGTATGGAAAATTTAGGATGAATGGATTTTATCTGGTCATATTTGATAAAATCATTTCTTCTTTGAAATAATATCATGTAGCATCATTGAATTATGACTCTGCAAAAATGTGAACATGTTTGACTTAGATTTAGAAGGAATCTTTAAGTATGGTCTGTCTAATATTTTGCTTGTACATCATGAATTTCAGTTTTGGGTTAAAATTGTATTTCATGGGATATAAACATCAGTAATCTCAGTTAAAAAATGAAGAAAAAACTGAAGTCCTGATACTTTGTGTTGAATTGTGAGTATTTAAACTAGGAGAATTCTTTGTAGATTCTAAAAGGCTGGAAATACAACCAGTCAGTAGATTGGTGGTCCTTTGGAGTGTTATTATACGAAATGATGATTGGCCAGTCACCTTTCCATGGAGATGATGAAGATGATCTGTTCCATTCCATTATGAACGACACTCCACACTACCCAAGATGGCTTTCCAAGGAGGCAGCTTCCATGCTTAGTCTGGTAGGTGTCTATTATCTATAAGTTTCTGAAATCTATTACAGACTAAGGATGTAGCTTTCACTAACTCTTATGTACAAGGATGCTTAATTTGTGTTGATTTTAGTTAGCATATTGTTAACTTTTGTGGAGGCAGAGCTTAAGCTCAGTCGGGAGCACATATTGGTTTCGTACTGAACCATTTTTCATGCAAGTCTGATAATCTGCCAACAATTTGATTGAATGCTTAATTATTACAGTTGTTCATTCGTAATCCCAAAGAGAGGCTGGGCATGCCCGACTGTGCTGCTGGTCCAATCAGATCTCAGGCATTCTTCAAAAATATAGATTGGGATCGAATGGAACTGAGGCAGATTGAGCCACCATTCAAACCTAAAATCGTAAGTCAGTCGAAAATTGTGGCATGCTTGGTTAGGAATGCCAAGATTGTCCAAGAAGGTGTGAAAAAAGATTACCGTCTTCTAAAAGTCAAGGGAGATATAAATTGTCCGTTCAATTTTGCAAAACTGGGGCAGTAAACACTAGTTTACTAGTAATTGCAAGACAAAATTAATTTATATGAATTATCAGAGCTGTGTTCTAATCAGCAGAGAAGTCTATCTTTTGAAATAATTTTTTGTGTGCAAATTATCAAAATCAAAATGAAACAACTGCAACAAAATCCAACCTATAATTTTAAATACTTCTTAGAATAAAAGCAAAAAGAAACCCAGTTCAGAAGCAAATTATAAGTATATTTCATAAGATATCATGATATTAATTTGGAAGTAAGTGTGCAAAAGATGATAATGAAGCATGATTATAAGCTAAGGCTCAACTTTTCAGTTGATGTTTACATGCATAAGAAAATTCCTAGATAAACTCCTAGGATGGACAAGAGTTATGTTTCTTACCTTTAGAACTCGATAACAAATGAGACTTTAACATGTTAGATATTACTTTATTCATTCAGTTTAAAAAAAAATTCAGAAGTGATGAGTGAAAAATCATGTTTATGGTTTGAAGGTAAATAAATGCAAAAAATTAATGCATTTATATTTTGTATTTCAAGACGTTGATGATGGTTGCTATAGTGTTGAACTGTAAATTCTTTTTCAAAATTCACAAAGTAAACTTTATTCCACTCATCAGTGAAATATGTGATGTCGGTAAAAGTGTAGATTAAATATTCATGTTTATAGAAAGTAAAACTCAAATTTATTGATGTTACTTGTATCTTCATTACAGAAATCTGACAATGACATATCAAACTTTGACAAAGACTTCACAATGGAGAAAGTCCAGCTAACCCCACCAGACAAGGAACTCCTCAAAACAATGAACCAAAAGATCTTTCATGGCTTCACATTTACAAGTGCAGAGGCAGATTTCTAAATTTACAGACAGAAAAAGAGAGATGCCAGGCCAGGTGAAGCCAAGAGACACTTTTGACATCCAAGGTCAAAGATCTGTGATCCTAATTATCCATGTTTCTTCTTCTGTAAATAATGGAGTTCATTGGAAGCTGTGATGTTGTGCTGGGTGATGTAAGGATCATCTCAATGTTTATAAAAAACAATTCTCACAAGGGACCATCTCAAAATTTAGTAGATGGACAAATTGTACAGCATTGTCTTAGGTATTAAATTTTTCATTTCCTCTTCTGCACAGAAGAGCAATATTGAACATTTGATGTAACAATAGAAGTGTCCTAACACTGGATTTGATGACAAATCATTTGGAGAAATTGGGGAGAGCATCAAAAGTGAGAATTTATATATATGTTTAGACTTATGTAGATTCTGCTCATAATTTTTTACTTTGTAGCATAGATTAATGACCAAACAGAATTTCTTATTACATATTTACACTTTTCTACAAAATTTGTGCCTTTTGTGATTTCCCCCAAGCATTTGTAAGTGTATGTATGTATGTTTATTGCCATCATTTTGAATACCTGTCAGCCTTTACCGCTGTATATTAATCAATAAGCAGAGTGACCTTGCCATGAAAAAAAAGTCAAGAGTTCAATAACTAAATAAAAGAAGAGCACAGTCCTGAAAACAATGAGCCTAATGTATATAAAAATTTAATACTGAGTGTATTTAAATCTCTAATGAATGTATATAAGACCTTTTTGTAAAAGAAAAATGATGCATTAATCAAAATATCATTTACCGTAGACTCTTTTATGTAAAATGTATGAGTGTGTTCAAAAGGACTTTAAGCATACTTTTCCTTCATTCTGTTGCTCAAACAGTTCACAGAAATAATCCTCTTTTTGACTGCTTTTAATCTAGTAGTTGCTGTATTTTGACATTTTTTATTTAAACGAAATCCATGTATTATATAATCATCCAAAGAAAACTGTGTGTTTGATGGATTTTCCCAGATGATGCAACAGTCGTATACATATTGTGCTGTGCCATTGTTACTGCATGCAGAATTCGTTATGCACTTTGAAAGTGTACTTTTTAAAAGAGTTTTTATATTGCCTTAGTTATTTATTGATGCACGTTTACACCCGAATTTACAGAAAAAGGGAGATAATTTTAAAGAGAAATAATAATATACATTTAAGTATGTCAAATAATTGTTCACATGTCAAATCAAGGACAAATGGGCTGAACCTTCACATGTGTTAGCAAGTATTTTTAAAAAAATATATACCTTTTTAGTATATTGAAGAAATACAGGTATAGGACTATTAGATTATTTGTTTTTTATGTAATTTTTAAAACTTTATACAAAATCATACTGAAAATTTAGCTGATGTTAAAGTGATGTAAATTACAGTATTTTTATAAATCTGGCAGTTTTGTATACTTCCTTGTTTCACAGGGTGCTAAACTTTTTCAACCCCAAATTGTTTGTTTCCCTTTCATATTTCATAGTTTATAATGTTGGACATCAGAAGCAAATTTAAAAAAACTGGATTTTTTCTACAGTAGAATATATGTATGTACAGCTTTCCACATTTCCAAGCCTATTCTTTAATGTACTGTATTTGTTTAATCCTCAGGTATATCAATGAACAAGGAATTTACATTTTTCTGTTTCATAACATTCAGGCATTATAAGATTGAGTGTGACTAGCAGGTTTCCTATATGTTGTATTCTCAACCCCTGGCTATTGTACAGTAAAACATGGATATAGCAAACCCCCAGAGATACACAATTTCCAACTTCCAGTTCTAATTGTTATTCTTTGTTGTACTACATGTATGTGGGATACAGTTACTGTTATAAGCAGGAGTTCATTTAAAGCAGTTGTCTGGTGTTTTTGCAATAAACTTGTTTTACTTTGAGGAGAGTCACTCTGTCATATTCAGAATAGATGTTCTTTTCTTGTTTGTCAATGTTGTTGCAATAAATGTCATTAAACTGTACAACAAATTAATAATTATAAGTTAATTTGGATTTCCCAAATGTTTTATATCTTAATCAGCTGTTATGTTGAGTGGATGTTTTGCTTCAGTATGAATTATGATACAATATGTTTTATCCCTATTTCATAATGTTGATGATGTAGTGATATGTGAATGTTTTACACACTAATACATGTATCGACTAACGATTTATAAAGAGTAAAAGAAGTTCATGTTTAAGAAAACATGTTTCTTTTCATTTAAAGATTTTTCATGCTGATGTTAGGACTTAAGCCATTGACTATAAGTGATTGTGATTAAAATATTTTTAAGTATTGTAGAAAGAACAACTATAGAGAGCATTCCTTTATCTTAATGAAATATATTAACAATTCAGTAATTTACACCTGTGCAAGCATATTATAAATGATGATGATATAAAAAAAATATGGTTACTTTTCTGTCCCTTCCGACAATGGGATCACAGAAGAGCTCTAAAGATATATTCTGGAACTTCAGACAAGTGATCAGAAAGGGAAAAAAGCAACTTTGCTAGAATAACAATTAGATGAATTAATTTGCAATAGTTTTCAAATGATATAGATTGAGGGTTTTTATTTCAAACCAAGGCTGTATGGGCGAGGAATAGCAACACCATATACATGTATAAGTTGCTCTCATTCCCCAGTCATAATAAATATATCATTTAAGGCTTACAAACAAAAGGCTTATAAACGTACCATAAGAAACTATAAATCAGCCAATTACCAAAGTTTGAACGATGACTTAAAACAAGTTAAATGGGACGAGGCTGTGTTCAATTGTGAGAATGTTAGCGAAGTGAATAACAATTTCAATTTAAAATTAATAAACTTAGTTGACAAGTATATCCCTACAAAGGTCATTACTGTTCGACCCTCTGACAAGCCTTTTATTACAAATGCAATTCGTAGGAAAATGAGGAAAAGAAATAGAATACACCATAAAGCTAAACGTACAGATAATCCTCGTCACTGGCAAAAATTTAGAGAAATTCGTAACGAAGTAGTGAACTTAGTACGAATAGCTCGAAATGATTACAAAATAAAACTGGCCTCTCAACTTATAGATAAAACTATTCCTCCAGGTAAATGGTGGCGCATAGCGAAATCTGTCTCAAGACTTAAAAAACAAAATACCTCCCCTCCTCCTCTGAAAACTAGTGATGGTAGAATATTCATCCTATTGATAAAGCTGAAGAGTTTAATACTTATTTTGTAAACATCTCACATATCAACACTGAGCCAGATCTTCCTGAACACGGACCCGGTCCGCCAATTAATTGCTTTGATGATTTTGAAATTACTGAACAGGATGTTCTTGATCAACTAGAAATCTTGGATACCACTAAACCACCAGGACCAGACGGATTATCTCCAAGAGTCCTAAAAGAAATACGATTCTCCATTTATAAACCACTAACAAGACTCTTCAACATGTCTCTCAGTAAGAAATGTCTGCCTTATATAAGGAAACAAGCACATGTTTCTCCGATCTTTAAAAATAAAGGAAGCCCTGAAAATACTAACAATTATAGGCCTATTTCTCTTACTAGTTCTGTTTGCAAAGTTATGGAAAAAATACTTTTCAAGTATATGTTTAACTATATAAAAGACTACGAATTATTATCAAAAAACCAATCGGGATTTCAGCCTGGTGACTCCACAGTAAATCAACTAGTTGAAATATATGATAAAATTATGTCAAATCTCGACAAAGGCCGGGACCTAAGATTTATATTCTGTGGTATTTCAAAATCCTTTGATAGGGTTTGGCACAAAGGACTTATCTTTAAACTTGAAAAAATAGGCTTCTAAAATAATATTTTGGGCTGGATTAAAGACTACCTTACTGACAGGCAACAAAAAGTAAATATTGAAGGTTTCTCATCAACATTCAAAACTGTTGATGCAGGAGTACCCCAGAGATCTGTGCTAGGCCCATTTTTAGGTCTTTCCACCTTTCTGTGGAAAGACCTCTTGAAATGCTTCTGTTTATTATTATTATTAGGTCTTTCCACCTTTCTGTGGAAAGACCTCTTGAAATGCTTATGTTTATTATTATTATTATTTTTCCGTTACCGCCTTTTGAACCGAAAGACTTTTCGAAGAACTTTATAGTTCATGATACTCGACATCAAAAGTTATTTCGAAAAACTACCCAATGAGTATGACCTATGACCCCTTTCGGAGTTCTTGCCCTTTGAACGAAAAACCTTGTTATCGCTACTCCTTCGAAATCATAAACCGCAGAGGTTCGAAACCATTACCAATGTTTTCGACTACTTGAGAGGACTTTTCAATCTTTTCATTGCGAAATGATTTGTCGAGCCCTTTAATAAGTTATCGCCCCTGAGATTTTTTGATGTTTACGAATAATGAAAAATGTTCTTAACGATAAGTCGTAAAGAAATAGGACCAACTGCATAAGATTCTTTGACCTTATACCTTGAAGTTAAGGTCAAGGTCAAAGGTCAAGGTCATTCAAAATATAAGAAAATTAGCTCTTTTTATAGCTCTTTTGTCTTTCAACATATACTACATATCTTTGCATATGGAATTTCTCCTTCTAAAACTATTTTAAAGATTTCATTCTTGTCCCCCAAGCTTGACCCATTCAAAAGTTGTCACCCCTTTCCCAATAAAACCTTGTTATCGCTACTCCTCCGAAACCGTAAAGCGTAGAGATTCCAAACCTTCATCAGTGTCTTCGACTCAATTAGTACACTCTTCAATCTATACAGTGCGAAAGGGTTCTTCGGCCCCTTCTATGAGTTACTGTCCCTGAAAGTTTTTGCTGCTTACATTTAATGAACTTTTTTTCAAAGGGTCTAACCTAGAGACATGGAACCAACTGCATCAGCATATTTGATCTTTGACCTTGAAATATAGGTCAGGGTCAAAGGTCAAGGTCATTTAAAAACATAAGAAATCCCTTATATATGTGTAAAATGTAGCAATTCACCAAATGACCTTGACCTTTGACCTTGACCTTTGACCTTGGGTCAAATGGAAAAGTTAGGACATGCATCCAGCTCCAGTATCAGGTAAAAACACAGAAAGTAAAGATTTCTCGTTTTTTTTTTTTTTTTTTTTTTTTTTTTTTTTTTTTTTTTTTTTTAATGACCTTGACCTTTGACCCTTGACCCAAAGGTCACAATCAGGCTTAAGGATGTGGAAGTAGTTACAATTCTTAGTTTAAAAGAGGCATAAAATAAATACTTCATCACCCCCCCCCCCCTTCTTAAAAAAAAAAATAACATCAACAACAACGTAGAATATTTCTGGAAAATTCAAACCAGACCTCGGATCGACACCATATTTGGTACAAATGTAGTATAGACCTCAGAAAAACTTTCTGGAGAGTTTTACGGTGAGTCTTATAAGTTTATAGAAGTCATAAAGTTTCACAGCAAAAACTACAAGTTCTGTTGTGTTTGAAATTAAAGTGCAGGTGAACGAAGAAATGATCTAAACCTTTTATCGGCTATTTCTTCAGATGTCGTTAGTAGCATTAGATTCTCCTGATATGATACGACATTTTAATACCAAGCATTCTCTCTTTCTTTTACATTTGGAATTTATTTGATTTTCATTTAGAATTAATCAGTTTCCAGAAATAGCGATTTTCGGTAGATTAAAAACAATTCTCGCTTTCATTGTCGTGTTTCCCTTCTAAAAATGCATGTTGGGAATTTAATTTGGGCTACATATATTTAATTAAAGCCAAAGAAATGCTTATTTAAATGTTTCATATTTATTTCAGGATATTCAGTCAGAAATGTTAAAATCCGAACCCGATCTTTATGCTTACAACGAAGCTATTTACAAAAAATCAGCATGCTCACAATATCGATGAATCAGGCTACAGACCATTAATACATTTTCATTAGGGAACAGTATGAACGTTTTCTCACGCAGCCCGTCCCTTATTATTTTATATACTGCTTGCAAATTCAGGAACTATTTCCTTTTACGGAACTTCTTTCTTCCCCTACCGATTCTAAAAATACGCTTGCATTTCTTCTATAGTCTTAAACAATTAACTTCCGTATGTTATCGGAGTGCGTGGCCGAATGGTTAGCGCACCTGCCTTTCAACCCAAGGGTTTTGAGTTCGAGCCCAGCTGGAGGAGCATTTTTTTTTTTTTTTTTTTTTTTTTTTTTTGCATTTTTCTCCTTTTTCTCCTTTTTTCCAACCCAAATGACATGGAAACACTTAAAAAGGTGGAAAGGCCTCTAATTGTTCTCTGAACAATTAGTCTCCTAGTTATTATTATTATTATTATTTTTCCGCTACGGCCTTTTGAACCAAAAGACTTTTCGAAAAACTTTATAGTTCATGATACTCGACATCAAAAGTTATTTCGAAAAACTACCCAACGAGTATGACCTATGACCCCTTTCGGAGTTCTTGCCCCTTGTACGAAAAACCTTGTTATCACTACTCCTTCGAAACCGTAAACCGTAGAGGTATGAAACCTTCACCAATGTCTTCGACTAATTGAGGGGACTCTTCAATCTTTTCATTGCGAAAGTATTCGTGGACCCCTTTTATGAGTTATTGCCCCTGAAAGTTTTTGATGTTTACAAATAATTAAAAATTTTCAAAACGATAAGTCATAGAGACATGGGACCAACTGCATAAGATTCATTGACCTTTGACCTTAAAATATATCAAAGGTCAAAGGTCAAGGTCATTCCAAAAATGAGAAATTAAGCTCTTTTTATATCTTTTTTGTCTTTCAACATATCATATATATCTTTGCATCTTTAATATGTCCTCTTAAAACTATTTGAAATATTTCATACTTGTCCCCAAAGTTTGACCCCTTTAAAAATTATTGCCCTTTTCATTAAAAACCTTGTTATCGCTACTCGTCCAAAACCGTAGACTGTAAAGACATCAAACCTTCACTAATGTCTTCAGGGTCTTTAGACACAACTTCAATCTATTCAGTGCGAAAGTATCCGGTGACCCCTTATATGAGTTATTGCCCTTTAACATCTTTGCGCTTACTAGTAAAACTTATAACTTTAAAACTAAAAGTCGTAGAAGCATGGGGTCAAGTGCAATGTGACCCTTAACCTTTGACCTTCAATATTTGTTCAAGGTCAAAGGTCAAGGTCATTTCAAAATTTTTAAAATTTTCATTTTTTCCATTTTTCAAGCAATTTCTTGTTTCTCTTGTATAAAAATAAACAGTA